GTGAGGAACACGCTAAGCCAAATTTCAATAACAATAAAGGAATTCCTGAAACAATTGAAAATGAAGCTAATGAACCCATTCTTTTAATATTAGATGACTTGATGATGGGTGCATTTAATAAAAATGTATGCGAGCTTTTCACGAGAGGATCTCACCACAGGAACTTATCTGTAATAGTAGTTACACAAAACAACTCTAAACACAAAATACATTGTTGCATTCAAAAACCCCAGAGATAAGCTGCAATTTCAATGCTTTGCAAGACAAATTTATCCTGAGAACTCTCAGGAACTATTTAGAATATATACAGATGAGCCACATGGTTATTTACTTATTGACCTTACTCAGGGAATAAATGATCTCCTGAGATTTCGAACAGATATTTTTAATTCTGTGTATACAATTTGCTCTGCTGATGAAAATGGTTTACAAAAAGAATCTAAATTGATTGAAAGCGAACAAACATATATTGTATTTGCTCAAAAGAGCCAACCACAAACTGCGAAATGCTATTATAAGTAATTGTGATATTGAGTTAGTGAAAGCATTATTGGAAATAGTGTTGAACACATTACAAGGAAATCATAAGATATCAAAATCTCAACTATATGCTCTCAAAAAGTATAAAAATGCATTACGTTATGTTTCATGTCCAAAACGTTCAATCAATTCCAAGAGAAAAGTTCTAATCAGTTCATTGCTTTCGGGGGGCCGGCGAAAATCCTCCAGCTGAACCCGCCCCGAGGGTGCCGGCCGGGCAATGGGCACTGCATTATCCCGGATCGCGTGATGCACTGTCGCTTGCTCTGTCCGGGGTAATGCAGTGTCTAGCCAAGGCCGGGTCCAGGTCCTCCCGACCAAAAAATCGGGGGAACTGAACCATGGCCATGGCTGGAGGTGCCTGGCGGGTAGGCATAAAACGCTAGGGGGTGGTTCCCCCGATAAACATCAACTACGTATGGACCTTCGGGCCTAGTATGGAGCGGACAGACGGTCAAACACGGGTTGGGTGGAAAGCGTGACTGCTACCACCGGCGGGCACGGGGAGGAGCAATCCTCTCTGCGTGTCGCCAGAGGTCACACCTCTGATATGGCGGGAGCAGGTCATGTCAGTTGCAATGCCACTGCCACAAAACGGACTCACTCCAAGCTGAGCCGCACAGGTGCCTTAGTCGAGACAGACTCGGACCTGGAGAGCGTGCTCTCGGTCAGCAAGACGGAGGAAGATAGCCTTCTCCGCTCGCCTGAACCAGGTTCCAGCTCCCTGCGTAGGGAAGGGCCGAAGCGTTCTAGGGAGGGGATGAAGGCTAAGGCCCAATACAAGGCGGCGCTCAAGATCCGAAGCCGGCTCCAAGGCAGAGAAGACATCTCCCAAGAGGAGAAGTCCAAGCTAGCCTGGGCCGATCAGAAGGTAGAGGAGGGCCGCCTACACTTTGCACAAATGCTGCAAATGAAAGCGACGAAGGGGGAATTTGCCAACAAGGTGGAGGAGATTCTCGCCACCAAAAGGCAACGCTCGACCGAGAGCGTCAGTAAGGACACTCCGGCGAGCAAGCGGCAACGCGGACCCAAAGGGGTGGGACCTCCACCCAAAACGGCAAAGAAGCCCAAATCCAAGGCGAAGGTCAATGAGGTGACCAAACGACTCCTGATCGTGGCACTCATTGACCGGAGCGATGAGAATGGCAAGATGACGGAGGCGCGGTGGAAGATGGTGCACGCGCAGCTCGTGAAGTCGCTGTTCGGAAGAATGGAGGAGGACCCAACAGCCCCCATGCCCACGTTTGATGGTGCTGGCGAAGGTACTCTTCCCCATCGCAATCCAAGGAGACCGTGCGCTGAGGCTGCTACAGCGGCAGAACCCAGACGTGCCAACGGCGAACTGGAGGATCTTGCACATTGGGAGCCCACTACCCAACGGGGCCCAGAGTGCGATCCTCCAAATCAGCAAGGAGGCAGAGGACCTGCTGTACCCCAGATTCGGGAGGATGGCGTGGGGCCACCCAGAAGACAAGGACACGCACACCCTGCAGGCAGGCGAGGTGGAGAAGGACCTCGGTCTGGAGTCCATCGTGGAGGCCGCTCAGGGTATGGCGCTGGACGACTCCGAAGAGGAGGAGGACGGAGACCTGACAGTAATAGTCAACCCGTCGAGTGTAGTTGAGCCAGCCTCCCATGTCAGTGAGGGTGCTGCAGCTCAACCTACATAAAAGCAAACTCGCGTCGACGGAGCTCTTCATCGCCATGGAGCAAGGGCCCGTCGACATAGCTCTGGTCCAGGAGCCATGGATTGCCTCTGGCAACGCTGTGGCCGGACTAAAGTCCTCTAACTAAAACCTTTTCCACTCACCATCGGTAAGCAGGACCAGAACCGCCGTACTCGTACGGAAGGGCATCCATGCTTACCTTTTGTCTCATTACAGCACTGATGACCTGACTGCTGTGATGCTAGAAAGCGAGGAAAAGCACCTTATGGTAGCTTCCTGTTATATGGCACAAGACAGGCCAGCTCCACCGGAAGAGCTAAGGAGTCTGGTGACGGATGCCAGCCCGAACGACCAGCAACTTTTCTTTTTGGTACGAACGCCAATGCCCACCACAGCGTGTGGGGAAGCCCCGACATCAACGACAGAGGTGAGTCACTTCTAGACTTCATACTATCAACTAACCTAGATGTAGCAAACGTAGGGGAGGAACACACCTTCGTAGGTCGCACCTCGTCCAACGTACTAGATCTAACACTCGTAACGGGAAAGAGTACTTTGGTATCTGGCTGGAGAGTCCTTGAAAGACCATCCTTCTCAGACTACAAGTACATTCAATTCAAGTGCGAATTTAAACACTCTCCGCAGATAACTGTTTATAGAAACCCCGGAACACAAACTGGAAAAAGTTTAAAAAAACAGTTACTTCGAAGCTCGCGACTCGCCCGGGCACAGTGAAATCCCCGGAAGACATAGAAACGTCCCTAGAGACCCTGTCCAAGGAACTACTGGATGCGTACCACCGCTGGGTCACCGCTTCCATGGTGAGGGGGGCGCATAGAGGCACACCACAAGGTGGGGTCCTGTCGCCCCTCCTGTGGAACCTGGTGGTCGACGACTTAATAAAGAGATTCGAGAGGAGAGCCCCAAAAATAACAGCCTATGCAGATGACATAAGCATAATTATTACGGGAGTATGTCCATCGACCCTCAGCTCCATAATGGAATCAACACTCAGGGAGATATGTGAGTGGGCAGGAATAGTAGGACTCAGTATCAACGCGGACAAGTCGGACCTCATCCTCTTTACCAAAAGATACAAGGTACCGGCATGGATCCCCCGAAAATTGATAAAACCAGGCTGACCCCGAAAGCACAAGTCAAATACCTCGGCATAGTACTGGATAGCAAGCTGGCATAGAGGCCCAATGTAGTGGAAAGGGTGAAGAAGGCCACCATTGCGCTATACGCATCCAAGAAGACGCTTAGCAGCACATGGGGCCTGTCACCTGCTCTAATGCACTGGATCTACATCTCGGTGGTGCGACCGACTCTGCTGTACGGAGTCTTAGTGTGGTGGCAAGCGACAGAAAAGAAGACGTACAATAAGCTTATGGAAAGGACCTAGCGGCAGACACTGCTCTGCATTACGGGGGCGCTGAGGTCAACCCCAACAAAAGCTCTCGAAACCATAATCGACCCCCTGGACATCCACGCTCAGCTGACTGCAGGAAAGGCGGCACAACGCTTAGTAGCATCAGGCAATATGTCTCTACAAGGATTCGGGCACAGTTCAATTGGCCGAGACATGACCAGTATATCTGACTACATGATCCCCCAAACTGGCCTGGATGTAAAAGCAACCTCATACATGGGGCCCGACGATTGGAAAAGGGGTCGGGACCAGACTCAACACCTCAACATCTACACTGACGGCTCCAAGATGGAAGGAGGAGTAGGAGCAGGCATATACTGTACAGACCCTGAGATAAGGCTGTCCTATAAGCTACCGGACCAATGCAGCATGTTCCAGGCGGAAGTCTTCGCCATACGGAAAGCGGCAGTGGCTGCTCAGTCTACGGATCGTCCACACGACGTGATCAACCTGTTCGTGGACAGCCAGGCGGCGATAAGATCCATGCAGTCATCGGCGGTCAGTTCCAGAAATGTCTTGGCAAGCAGGGAGGCACTAGATATCCTAAGCACGACAAAGTCAGTGCGGATCTACTGGGTTCCCAGCCACCAAGGCATCGATGGCAACGAGATGGCGGACGGTCTGGCTAAGGACGGCGTCGGGCTGGAAAACGACAGAACTGAAAACGTGCCTGTCTCCCTTAGAACGCTCCAAAGCGATTTAGAGAAACGGGCCGACACACAGGCAAGAAGCAGGTGGAGCAGAACCACCACCTGCAGAACCTCAAAAACCATGTGCAAGGAGCGCAACAGGAAACTCAGCCACTACATACTGCACCTCCCACGGAAGGACTGCAGAATGTTGGTGGGAATACTCACAGGTCACTGTCTGGCCGCGGCACATGCTGTCAAACTAGGCATCACCAACAGTGGCCACTGCAGGAAATGCGAGGAATCCGGGGCAACTGGCATCACTGGAAGATGCCTCCAAGAGGACGCCAGGGGAACTGCTAGCCTTTGCCAAAAACACCTCGATCCTTAAGGACTTCAAAACCTCATAAATATTTTCGAAAGGGTCATACACCCCCATCCGGACAACTAAGGGCCATATTGGCCTATGCGTGGCCCCGTGAGGGCCGTCTGGGTTAACCTAACCTAACCTATTGCTTTCGGGGATTTTTGGAAAAATATTAAACAATGCTTATAAATACGCATCAATTAAGCAAAGTAATTTTAATGCGTCCGAATGCTTATTGTTGAGAGTAGCAGCAGCGAGTTGGCAGGGGGCTGTTGTTAACAGCCGGAGCGCGCTCTCTCTTGCCTGGCGCTAGCGAGTTGGCGGGCAGCCAGCTCACTAAGCGGGAGTTCAGTATGCTACCCACCCCCGTACATTCCGGTACGCGTCGATACATAGAATCGTTTTATATTCACACCCACATACATACACACATACAATCAAACAACCGCGCCGTTTCGAGTGCCCAATAAACCAATTTGTTAACGATCATACTGTGCCTATTCATTGCGGGACACTTTGGATCTGCTGAGGGCTTATCTGCAGCACTAGGAAGCGCCCTACTACAAACATTGGTCCTTCGAGCCGGATTCTTGCTGAATCGAGATTGTCCCAGCAAGCATCGGTGGATTCCAGAGAGAACTGCAGATAAGTACGCTCATATTGTGCCGCCAATCGATTCCTTCCGCGATTGGCGTTCCGCACTATTCACGTCCGAGTGTCCACTTATCCATATGTACATATATTCTTATGTACATATTGTCCGATCTCACTAACACTTTCCGTTACTCATCCGAAGTGATTTATTGGCGTTGTTTATTGTATTTATTGTGTATATCGAATTGGATATTCTTACAATCTTATTTTCACTCAATACTTCTCATAAATAATAAACCTCATTAATCCCGGTGGGAAAATACCTAAAAAAAAAAGACCGATTACTCCACATCTACATACCACACTTAGTATATGTAGGCACGAACGCGTTCGTCCGATACGCGGTACCAGCACTCCGCTGCTTATGCAAATTTCGCAATTACCAAGAAATTAAGCATTCCAGGCGCCCCTAACGTGACCCACAGCCCGAGCAATTTCCCCCACATCCGGGATAAATTCATCCAACAAGAGGCACAGCTCATTTCCGCAGTCTTTTTTGCATTTTTCCGCGCCAAATTCCAAATTGCAAAAAAACTAGAGGTGACAAACCAAAAAAAAAACCTAGTGGTGGCAAAAATAAAAATATCGCTCACGGGCCTCGTATCCATCGAGTAGTTAATATTTTTTCGCAAATCACCTTGTCCATCGCCCACTACGACTAAATCCATTCCAGTACCGATATTTAAACATATCGTAGTCTAGTGCGGATCCCGATTGTGATTCTTTTGTGCGCCAAAACCGCGGGGAACAGGAAAAATATCCTTTTTTCTTGCGTCATATCATCCGATAGTTTTCCCGAACACTTCCGTTTTCGCTCTAAGATCGTCTTACACATCACCCACTACGACGAAATAAAATCCAATACCGATATATCAAACATCGTAGTCTAGTGCTGATTCCGTTTTCGACTTTTTCGTGCATTAAAACCACTGCCAATAAGAAAATATCAATTTTCTTGAGGAATATCGTCCGATAGTCGTGCTCGACAGGAAAACAATTCCTTGTTGTTCTGCCTCTGGTGTGGTGTCCATTTCCGCTTTATCCGCACAGTCCTCATTTGGCGTTCATTTGTGCTTCCGCGTGCGGTCCTTCTTAGTATGCCAACAGGTGTGGAAGACAACAAGAAGTTTTTGGCGGTGCCTACGCCTGGTAGATCAAGGCCATCTAGCTCATCCGTGCCATCAACTCCGACCTCGGGGACTCAAAGGGCAAGGTCCTTAGGTACTCCAAGGGCTTCCACGAGTGCCACGGCGGCGACGACCAAATCGGTGCTGTTTCCTTCGCCGATCACGACTAAGGTGCTTTCGCCTCCATACCCGCAACTAGTCGATCCTCGCTCCACACTTCCAATGGCGCAGCCGATTGTCACCTCCGCACGGGCCAAGTTTGTGGCAGCCATCGATAGGCTGACCACCTTGGAGGCACGGCTCACCACTCCAGGGACCGCCACCCCATCCTCCGCGGTCTCACAGGTCCGTCGTGACCAGCTCAAAAACATGTGGGCCAAGGTGGATGCTGAATTTGAGGCATGTTCGCTGGCAATGCTGTGCGAGGCCCCTGAAGACCAAGAGGAAATTCAGAAAATGTATGGCGAGTGCTATGAGGGCTATGAGCGGTGCGTGGCGGACCTCATAGCCCAAATAGACCGCCCAGACCTCCGACCTCCCGGGCCGCAGACCTCCCAGGGCGGTTGTCGGCTGCCCCCCTGTGACATTGAAGTTTTCGCAGGGGATTACGTTCGCTGGCCGACGTTCCGCGACCTATTCACAGCGATTTATATAAACAATCCGAGGCTGTCCCCGGTGGAAAAGCTGTACCACCTCACTACTAAAACCCGTGGCGATCCGAAAGCCATAGTAGAAAAGTCCCCACTTACCAATGACGGTTTCGAGGCAGCATGGTCAGCCCTCCGTAGTCGATATGAAAATAATCGACTCCTGGTGACCAACCAGATAAATATCCTGCTATTGCTGCCTCGCGTGGGTTCCGAGACTAGTCGTGCCTTGAAAGAGCTTCAGAGCACCATTCAAGGTGTTCTAACTGCTCTGGCCCACTCCAAGGTCTACACAGACAATTGGGATAGTATTCTGGTGACCATCTGTGCATCCAAGCTGCCAAAACTGACCCGGGCTCTGTGGGAAGCGTCAGTGACTGACAAGAAGGAAATGCCTCCATGGACGGAAATCGACTCCTTCCTGACACAGCGGTACCTGACGCTAGAGGCCATGAAGAGCGACCCTTCCCAGGCTAGAAGCGATCCGCATCAGCAACCGTCCAAAGGCAGTCAAAATCCGCAATCCTCCGGAAGCCACGCCAACCCATTCCGGTCTCAAGGCAGTCCTCCTCCGAGGAACTTTCACTCCTTCAAGACCCACATTAATCCGAAGCAGTGCGATCTCTGCTCCAAAGAGAATCATCCGGTCCGGCTCTGCCCGCACTTCCTCCAAATGGACGTTGAAGCACGTTCAAGCTGCATCAAGACGAATCAGTTGTGCTTAAACTGTTTTGCCCGAGGTCACCAGCTCCGAGAGTGCACCAGCGCCCACAATTGTTTCACGTGTGGAGCCCGTCACCATACACTGCTGCATCGCGGTACTCCTGCCTCCAGTGAGTCGTCCACATCCGCGCAAATTTCCAATTCGTCCGACGCTCAGCCCACCGTGCAAAATTATTTCACCTCGGGCACCAGGCCCGTTCTTCTAGGCACGGCAATAATTAACATTTGCCACCTGGGGACAAATTTCCGCGCCCGCGCTCTAATCGACTCGGGCTCCGAGGCTACGTTCATTACGGAACGGCTTTTTAACATCATCAAACTACCATTCCGCCTTATTCAGGCACAAGTCTCAGGCCTGAGTCAGTCGGTAGCAGCTCAGTCCAAGAAGCTCTGCCACTTTTCCATTCGTTCCCCGACTAAGCCGGGCTTGCAGTTGAAAGCCGCGGCTTACGTATTGCCGGAACTAGCAGGCAATCTCCCGTCATATCCAATTCCGCTAAGTGCGTTGCGAGATTTGCCGAACCTGCCATTAGCTGATCCCACCTTCTATGAGAGCTCGCAGATAGATGTCCTGATCGGAGCCGATATCCTTCCCTCCATCCTTCTGAGCGGTTCACAGACCGACATTTGTGGCTCTCTCCTTGGGCAGTAAACGATTTTCGGGTGGTTGCTTACTGGTCCGGTGCCCAGTGCCCCCCCGAACCGAATCGCATCTTTCTCCACACAAGTGTCCAACGTCCTCGATGCTCCATTAGACAAGCTCCTCACAAAGTTTTGGGAGGTGGAGGATCTACCAACCAAGTTAGTAGGAGAGTCCGATTCCTATTGCGAAAGCAACTTCCTACAAACCACCACGAGGGCAACAAGCGGAAAATACATGGTAACCCTACCATTCCGCGACCCGGGTCATCTCGGGTCTGGCCTAGGGTATTCAAGGTCCATCGCACTAGCCCAGTTCTTAAGGAACGAGAATCGGCTGAAGAGAGATTCGCCGTTGCACGAACAGTACGTTTCCGTAATCCAAGAATACTCAGATCTGGGCCACATGACAGAGCTCCCTCCGAGCCACGACTCCAACAACTACTATCTCCCTCACCACGCAGTAATCAAACCCGATAGCACTACAATGAAGCTTCGTGTGGTGTTTAACGCATCCAGCCCATCCGCGAACGGAACGAGCTTGAATGACCTCCTTCACGCGGGCCCGGTCCTACAATCCGATTTGACCCTTCAGATTCTGAAATGGCGCTACTTCCGATATGCGTTCAACGCCGACATCACCAAAATGTACCGTCAGATTTGGGTGGATCCAGAACACACTCGTTTCCAGAGAATCTTGTTTCGAAACGCAGAGGGGGAAATTCGTGATTACGAATTGAAAACCGTCACCTTTGGCGTCAACTGCGCCCCCTTTCTCGCCATTCGAGTCCTTCAACAGCTTTCCAACGACGTCCAATCGCAATTCCCCAGGGCTAGTCATATCATTCGGCACTTTATGTACGTCGACGATGTCCTCGCCGGCGCTGACTCCACACAGGAGGCTCAGCTAGCCATCCGCGAATTACAGGCCGCCCTCAGTTCGGCAGGTTTTCCGCTACGAAAGTGGACAGCCAACCACAAGGACGTATTGGCCGAGATTCCGAGTGACCACCTCCTCCACACTGATTTCCTGGAGATTGACGCACAGAGCACGGCAAAGACCCTCGGCATTCGCTGGAAAGCGACCTCCGACGAGTTCTTCTTTGTTCCTCCGGTGCTCTCGCTTGAGTCATCCTACACCAAGCGAGAAGTCCTCTCGCAGATAGCGAAACTGTTTGATCCTGCAGGGTGGCTGGCACCGTTCATCGTCCGCTCCAAGATCTTCATGCAGGAAATTTGGTTGCAGGAACTGGAGTGGGATGAGAACCTTCCGAACGAACTGTGTCAATACTGGCAAGCCTTCCTGCGTAGTTACTCCTGTCTCACCAAGATCCGTATCCCAAGGTGGATTGGTTCCCAGCCATCCGTTAAGGTGGAGCACCATGGGTTCTGTGATGCCTCAGAAAAGGCTTACGGCGCCGCGATTTATGTTCGCGTTGAGATGGGCCAGCGTATCGACGTGCATCTACTGGCAGCGAAGACACGAGTTGCGCCCGTAAAAACCGTATCGCTTCCCCGGTTAGAGCTGTGCGGGGCCGTGCTTCTAGCCGAAATGGCGACGGCTATCCTGCCAAGTATGCCGACGACAGGGTCTACCTGTTACTACTGGACAGATTCCACAATCGTTCTCGCCTGGTTGAACAAGCCTGCATGCCATTGGACCACCTTCGTGGCCAATCGAGTGACGAAAATCGCTCAAACCACCGAGACCCAAAAGTGGTCTCATGTGCGCTCCGAGCACAACCCGGCGGATTTAGCCAGTCGGGGGGTTCCTCTACAGGATCTGGTTGACAACCATCTCTGGTGGCATGGGCCCTCGTGGTTACAGCAACCACGCTCTCAATGGCCGCTCCAAGATCAGGAAACCCCCGTCATAGACCTCGAGCAGCGGGCTGTGAAAGTCCATTTCACAACCAGCCCACCCGAAGACTTCCTCGAGCGATTCTCCACGCTTGAAAAAGCTCTACGAGTCCGCGCGTACGTCCTGCGTTTCCTAAAGCGCTGCCGAAAACTACCGTACGCACAGGAGATCCATCCTACAAGCGGGGAAATTAACGAGGCTGAACGAACTCTTATCCTAGAAACTCAGCGCCGAGAATATTCTCAAGAGTATCACTCCTTACGTGAGAAGCGTCCAGTGCCTCGATCAAGTTCTATCCTGAATTTGAATCCGTTTATGGATCAACATGGGGTCATACGCTCCTGCGGCCGTGTATCTACGGCGCAAGGGCTGAAGTATGACGAGCGACATCCCATAATTCTTCCGTATAACTGTCGTTTGTCGCGACTCCTCACGCAGTTCACACACCGGATCACTCTTCACGGGGGCAGCCAATTGATGGTGCGACTTATCCGATCCAAGTATTGGATTCCACGGATTCAGAAGCTGATGAAGGGTGTCGTGAACTCTTGCAAAGTGTGCCTTATCCACAAAAGGAAGTTGCAAACTCAACTGATGGGGGATCTCCCCAGGGAGCGAACTTCATTCTCCCGACCGTTCACGCACACCGGAATTGACTACGCCGGTCCCTTCGAAATCCGCAACTACACAGGGCGGGCGTGCCTTATTACCAAGGGGTATGTGTGCGTGTTCGTGTGTTTCTCCACGAAGGCTATTCATTTGGAGCCTACGTCCGACCTCACCACCGAGAAATTTCTCGCTGCCTTCGCGCGGTTCGTCGCGAGACGAGGCTGTCCACAGAGGATCCACTCCGATAACGGCAAGACCTTTGTGGGCGCAGCCACAGTACTGGCCCGTGATTTCCTAGAAGCATTTAAGGACTCTGTGATTGATGCGTATAGTCACCAAAGGGTCTCGTGGAAATTCATCCCACCAGGGGCCCCACATATGGGGGGACTTTGGGAAGCCGGAGTGAAGAGCTTCAAAACCCTGTTCTATAAGGCCACGTCCACTCGTAGATACACCTTCGAGGAGCTCTCCACGCTTCTCTCGAAAATAGAGGCGTGCCTTAATTCCAGACCGCTCTCGCCTATGTCCGAAGATCCGACGGAGTTACTGGCCCTAACTCCCGGGCATTTCCTTACGGGGGGACCCTTAATGGCGACGGCGGAGCCAGAAGTTAAGGGTGACCTCACCTCGATCATAAATCGATGGCAACATCTGAAGGCACTCAACCAACAGTTCTGTCGTAGGTGGAAAGAGGAATACCTCAAGGAACTCCACAAGCGGACCAAATGGCAAACGCCCACGCCCAATCTGCAGATTGGTGATATGGTCGTCGTCAAGGAAGACAACTTGCCGTCTAATGAATGGCGTCTCGGACGAATCCATTCCGTGTACCCCGGCGCCGACGATCGGGTCCGTGTAGTCGACATCCTCACTGCACGGGGGGTCCTCAAAAGGCCCGTCGCAAAGGTCGTTCTTCTGTCCGTAGAACCTCCTCGCTCCATCCAACATTAACGAAGAGCGTGCGCGTCCCCCGCTTCCTATCCCGTTACTAACCCGTCTCCTATTCTTTGTCTTCTTCTTTCGCCATAGTTTCCGTATTTAGAGATGGCTCCACGGTCTCGTAACACCCGCACTTCGGAGAGTAGACGTTCTCGAGGTAGTAACTCCTACCGTTGCCGAGTCTGCTCCGGAAGCCATCCGCTCCGTGCCTGCCGACGCTTTCTTCGCCTGGACGCCGAGAAGAGACTCCGAGCCGTCTTGATTAACAAGTACTGCGCTAATTGCCTGGCTCATCGGCACTCCGGCAGAGACTGCCGCAGTACCAAGGGCTGCAAAGTGTGCGGTGGGAACCACCATACGCTACTCCACAACCGTGCGTCCCAGCGTTCAGGCCGCGCTTCCGGACCAGCCCCTCCGGCGGCTCCAGCCTCTAGCGTTGAACGACGCCGTCGTCTCCCCGAAAACCGCCCCGTCGTGGAAGATCCGGCACCATCCGTGGCTACGCTCCTCCAGAACCGGAGCATCAACGTTCTCCCGACGGCCCTGGTGGTCTTAGATACGGGTTCCAGAACTTTTGAGACAGTGGCTCTTATAGACCCCTGTACCCCAGTAAGCAGCATCGACGAGTCATTGGCCATCGCCTTCAAACTGCCCTCCACGCGGGTTGGCACCGAGAAGGTGTGCACTGCGACTGTCCGCGCCAAGAATGGAAACTTCCAAGTGGACGCAGTGCTGAAGGTCGAGCCCCGCCTGCGCGTCCGCACGCCACTACGCCCCGTGACCGAGGCGGTGCGAACCCGTTTCGACGACATTCGCCTCGCCAACGAGCGCTTCCATCGCCCATCCACTGTCTCCCTCGTGCTCGGCGCCGACGTTTACCAGAAGGTGATCCAACCCGGGTTCCTCGCCCTAGGAGAAGGTCTTCCCGTGGCCCAAAGCACCGTATTCGGATGGATTGTTTCTGGGGCGTGCACTCAGCCATAGAGGTTCTCCATTGCAGTCCTGCAAGGGGGGGGAGGATGTTGAGAGTAGCAGCAGCGAGTTGGCAGGGGGCTGTTGTTAACAGCCGGAGCGCGCTCTCTCTTGCCTGGCGCTAGCGAGTTGGCGGGCAGCCAGCTCACTAAGCGGGAGTTCAGTATGCTACCCACCCCGTACATTCCGGTACGCGTCGATACATAGAATCGTTTTATATTCACACCCACATACATACACACATACAATCAAACAACCGCGCCGTTTCGAGTGCCCAATAAACCAATTTGTTAACGATCATACTGTGCCTATTCATTGCGGGACACTTTGGATCTGCTGAGGGCTTATCTGCAGCACTAGGAAGCGCCCTACTACAAACACTTATCAAAAACTAATAAAAGGTGAAAATGAAAACGATTTAATAAATATAACATTTTTACCTATTTTAAATGATAAGAAAACTAATGACTATAATAAAAGGATCAAAATACGTCAAGAATTGTGTTACTATCAAAATAAACGAGAAGGAACGTGCGAGTCGCTTCTATAGACGCGACTCTACTTATACCCGTACTCAGTCAGTATATACATTTTTGAGCTTATGATTTTTTAGAATTTAAAAATAAAAAAAAAAAATTTTACATTTTACATTTTTTTGCTACATATGTTATCTACATCTACATCTAAAATGAATATTCCACATCTAACATGTAGATTGTACATGTACCATTTATATTCTACATCTCCTCCGCCAGGGGTTGCTCGCGCACTGAACGCGGCAGAGTGTGCGAGCGAGAAAGAGAATCAGTAGCGTCAGCAGCGCTGGAGAAGGAGAGGGAACCAACAGAAAATTAATTTCTTCATTCTGGCTATAATTATCATCCGATCTAGTTCAGATTCGGCAATCTGGTAGATATGGTCATTCTCTACGTTACTGCGTTTTTAGTTTTATCGTATCTTTAAAAATGTGCCTGCCACAGATTTTCGTCTTTTGTGGGGGCGGAAGGGGGCGGTGCGAAATTTTGAAATACACTTGTAGCAGTGTGATATCACATGAGTCTGGAAACCAAATTTGGTTTCTCTAGCTCTTATAGTCTCTCAGATCTAGGCGCTCATCAAGACGGACAGACGGACGGACGGACGGACGGACGGACGGACAGACAGACATGCCTATATCGACTCGGCAATTGATGCTGATCAAGAATATATATACTTTATGGGGTCGGAAACGTTTCCTTCTCTGCGTTACACACATCCACTTTTACCACAAATCTAATATACACCTTAACTCTTTTTTGAGTACGGGTATAAAAATCAAGCCTCTGAAACTGGAAAGGCTGTAATAAATGAGTTTGGTCGAAAACCTTTAAGAAACATTATCCAAGAACAAAGCAAAATTGCATTGCAAAATCTGTCAAATAAAGAAATAAATAAATTTACATGATTCCAAAATGGTGAAGGTAAAAAGAATAAAAAGAGAAGGTCTAGGAAAAAACGAGCTCATTTATCATCTAAACAAGGACGCAAACATACGCAGTCGAGACCAATAAAGAAAAAATCATCCAAGAAATTAAATATAAAAGTAATTTTTTCGAAATCAAAAGGAACACCCATATAGAATGTATGAAAAGCGAATTGGATCTGTTTGAACCACATCCCACAAAGCTGTTTTCTGAGAAATGAAGAAGTTTCATACAACCCCATAGCATCGTTGGACAGTGCTTCTTCAATTGAATTCGTGTGCTTAGGAAATGGTGAAACATATCGAGACCTGTCAAGTGTTTACTTAAGACTTGTTGTACAGCTAAGAAAAAATGATAATGGTGTCATTGAAGGAAACAATGTTGGAGTAGTTAATAATATTTTGCATTCAATGTTCAGAAGTTCATCAGTCTATTTAAATAATATATTGGTTTCATTATAGATCGTATTTGCAAACGATTTTAAACTATGGTAGTGATGCCAGTGAAAGTCACTTAGCTACTCAAGGGTATTATCCTAATTATTGAAAATTTAATATCTGGTCGATATGTTAACACCGATGGGAACATTCTGCTCAAAAATATATTTCAAAACAGTAATAAGGTTGAGCTGTTCGGAAAAGTTCATGGGGATATATTTAATCAACCAAAATTACTCATAAATAATGTTGATTTGAGGATAACTTTTAACATTGAAAAAACAGCATTTTATTTGATGGAAACTGATACTGAGTCACGTCTTAAGATATTGGAAGCACAACTTTTCATGAATCACATAACTATTAATCCAAGCATTTTATTGGCCCATCATCATGTTTTACAAACTAAAAATGCCATTTATCCATACAGCAAAGTTCAAGTAAAATCATTTACAATATATCCAGGAAATAATACGCTATCAATTGACAACGCAATTATTGGACAGCTTCCTAATTTCTTAGCTTTTTGCATGGTAAAAAACAAATCATATTCAGGAAATCGAACATTAAATCCCTTCAACTTTGATCATTTTAAAATTCAACGCTTTAATCTAATGGTAAATGGAGTGCAAGTACCATCGCAGGCACTTGAATTTGATTTCTCGAATTCTGAAAATGCTCAAAGCTCTAGAGGATATAATATGTTATTCAGATCAAGTGGCATAAGACATTATGATCGAGGCTTGCAAATCACAAAGGAAATGTTTGAAAAAAACAGTTTTATATTAGCATTTGACTTAACTGCAGATCATCATAATTCAACTGTATGCTCAAATTTGATTTCTCAAGGGTCCATACGAATTGAAGGACGTTTTTCTGAGCCTCTTACAGAAGCAGTTACTTGTCTGGTGTACTGTGAATATGACTCAATGATTGATATTGATAAACATCGAAATATACAGGTTCTTCTGTAAAAATGAATACATTGAAAATCGATAATTTGTTTTCCAAGCATTCAAAAACAAAAACAATTTTTAAAGGAGTTTATCCCTCTGATAGGCTCCCAAAAGTAATTTCTAATATCCTGCTTTAATAATAGCTAACACAGATTCTTCAAACCGTCCAGGAACGCATTGGGTTGCATTTTACTTTGATAGTAAGCATTCAGCTGAATTTTTATACCCGTACTCAAAAAAGAGTTAAGGGGTATATTAGATTTGTGGTAAAAGTGGATGTGTGTAACGCAGAGAAGGAACATTTTCCGACCCCATAAAGTATATATATTCTTGATCAGCATCAATAGCCGAGTCGATATAGCCATGTCTGTCTGTCCGTCCGTCCGTCCGTCCGTCCGTCCGTCCGTCTTGTTGAGCGCCTGGATCTCAGAGACTATAAGAGTTAGGGTAACCAAATTTCGTTTCCAGACTCATGTGATATCACACTGCTACAAGTGTATTTCAAAATTTCGCCCCGCCTCCTTCCGCCCCCACAAAGGACGAAAATCTGTGGCAGGCACAATTTTAAAGATACGATAAAACTAAAAACGCAGTATCGTAGAGAATGCCCATATCTACCAGAGTGCCAAATCTGAATCAGATCGGATCATAATTATAGCCAGAATGAAGAAATTAATTTTCTGTTGCTTCCCCTGCCCACCCTCCGGCAAACGATATCACAACTCATTTTCCTTCTCTCTCGCACACTCTGCCGCGTTCAGTGCGCGAGCAACCCCTAGCGGAGGAGATGTAGAATCTAATTGGAACATGTACAGTCTACATGTTAGATGTAGAATATACATTGTATATGTAGATGTAGATATCATATGTAGCAAAAAAATGTAAAATGTAAAATTTTTTTTTTTTCTAAAATTCTTAAAAATCATAAGCTCAAAAATGTACTGAGTACGGGTATAAGTAGAGTCGCGTCCCCAGAAGCGACTCACACGTTCCCTCTCCTTTACTCCTATGGTCAATATCCTCAGAAGAAAGAATTTTTAAAATTATTAAGGAATAATTCATTAAAGTTTACATTCAATAAACAACTACTTCAAGGATATTTTTCAAGTACATGTGGTCATTACTGTATCCTATATGGAATTTTTAAAGGCAAAAAGAAAACCTTTAATTTTTTTTTTTTAAAACAATTTAAGAAAAATGACTTTAATTATAATGATAAGCTAATAATGAAAATGTTTAAAAAATTAGTTTAAAAGTAAAAATAAAAAACAACGCATTTATATTTTCAAGTAAATATTTTATTTTTTGGAGTGGGATTCATTTTATTTAATCTATAATATTTAAGCATGAGGTCTATAGCTTGGGATTTCTTTGCCGGTAACGTATGACAAAGGCATGTGTCAGGTCCATCGGTAGCATCGTCATCGCTCCAGGGGCACAGCTTATAGTGAAACCCGAACTTGGAGTATTGGAGCTCCTTTTCCTCCAGATCCACCAAAATAACATGAGGTTTTCCAGGATTTTCAAATGCTCATCGAAAATCATCTCTTCGAATTGAATAAGAAAAAGTTTTATTTGATGGGCGTGCATGATTCAACTGGCTTCTTGTAACTGATACTGGTGATCGTTCAAGGAGCGTGGTTCTTTTATATCCATGCCTTTACTCCTTCATCATTAGGATTTTTCTTTTCATAAATATTGTAAATAAACCGTGCTATACCATTTATCTCTTTCTAACTCTCAAATGTATTTATGTTTTAACCTGTTTTCTTATTTTGTATTTACATGAATATCTAGTTGTCTCTTTTCTCTTATGTATAAGAGAGGCAATCCATCCATTGATCTCGTACGGAAATCCTATACATAGATCTTCAACATTGGTGTATCCAATCGCCGGTTTTATCTCGTTAAGTGTTTCTAGGAACGCCTATGCATGTACATGTTTAATGAAGTTTTGATTATCCTTTTATATATCAAAAATAAAAAATGCTTACATACCATTATAAAAATGAAACTATTCAAACTATTCAATGTTTTATACTAAATTATTTAATCATGATTACATGATCTTTTATACTCTCATTCGTCTTTTCTTCTAAAATGAGATCTATGCTGATTGGTTGTTGCGCTGGGTATATAGTTGTAATTATGTAAAATCCAGATGTGAGAATAGGATTTCAAATATTATATTTTCTGTCTTTATATACATACATACATACATGTATACGTATGTACATAACCATTCAAATGAAAACATTATATATATAAAAATGGACCGTGTGCTAGGTTTTTACATTTTACATATGCTCATAACTCG